GCTGGCCCCCCGGTCCCTGGGACCCCTGATCCCCAATTCCCCACACCCGGACACCCCCCTCCCGCTTCCTCGAGACACCCCCAGTCCCGGGACGCCCCCTCTGCATGGTCCCTCTGGACCCCCTGGGACCTTCGGCCCTGCCTTCGACGACGACGACGACGACGACGACGACGACGACGACGACGACGACGACGACGACGACGACGACGACGACGACGACGACGACGACGACGACGACGACGACCCCCCCCCCAATCCTCGGGACCCCCCTGGTCGTTCGGGATCCCCCCTCTGGACCCCGCCAGCCCTCTCTGGATCCCCCCTCCGCAGATCCCCCCCAAACCTCTTATCTGGACCCCCCCTACAGCGAGCCGTCGTCGTCGCCCTCCTCCCCTTCTTGCTCCTCCCACTGCTGCCGCCCTCATCTCCTTCCTGCTCAAGGCCTCGTTGTCCTGCTATACCGTACCGGTACCGTGTGGTCCTGCTACCGTACCAATACCGGTACCGCGCGGTCCTGATACGTTACTGTCGCTACCAGTGCCGGCGGTCCTAACCGGACAGTGCTGACCGTACCGGCACCGCGTGCTCTTGTCACCGTCCCGTACCGTACCGTACCGTGGCTCCTGAGCTTACCTCAGGACTAGCTTAGGCCGTTGCGAGGCCGCCAGGCAAGAAAGGCGCCTCGCCCAGGCGCCAAATGTGACGAACCGAGCACGACAACTACGACGACAGAGGTGACGAGGAGGCGAGAGTAGGGCCTGCCGCAAGCACTGGTCCAGGGACTGCTCCTGGAAGTCAAGAACGCAAGGCATCTTAGAGCGGCTCCGAAGGTACGCCACGAGCCATCCGAAACACAGCGCCTCAACTTCACGTAGGAAACGGACAGCCTACCAGACCACCCCGACCCAACCCGAAGACCCGAATTTGACCCGGGAGGTACGGGTTCCATCTGTTTTGTTCAATGCTCCCCGACACCCCCCCACTGGAAATGGAGGTAAATTGAAGCCTTCGGATTGGGTTGGGGTGGGTGGTGAGACACGGACGACCGAAGGCTACCTCACTACTCCAGGGATAACCTATACCTCTGTTTGGCGTGGTACCAGCAGGGCAGCCAAACCGAGCCAATTACTCAGAGGCGAAGTGAGCGCCCCTCAGCGCAAACACTCTTCGGGGAACTACCACCTAGCTCAGCGCGCAAGAGCCAGGCCAGTCCGAGGGCCGCTTTGCGGCCAAGTCTTCCAGGGCACGAAGCGGGCGCGAACGCCCATTTGATCTTGAATGTAGTTGGGGCAAGCCCGGCCAGCGCTGAGCCAGTCCTCGCGACACTGACCGCAGGCACGGCGCATGCACAAAAAGCCGTAACCGCTGGCTTTGCCCTTCTGCTCGTCGAGACCGCTGCGAGTTGAGCTGCGTACACGCATGCTTCACAAGAACAGACATCGCAGGAAAGCTCCCTGCAACAGCCAAACCTCTGGCCACATCCTTCTACCACGCCGTGGGTGTCTGGCGTTCGGCGATCTGGGCCATGATCGGCGAAGCATGGGCTGTCCGACTGCCAGAGATGCACATCTGAGGCCATGGTGCTGTTCCATGGGCTGATGCTGCACGATGAGGCTGCAAGCCGACGCTGCACTCTGGAACCACGGTATAGAGCTGCGAACGAGGCCTGGGAGTTTCAGTGCCCCTGGTCGGGCCAGATTGCTCTCCAGGGCAAGCTGGCGGAACACTGCGGCGATGGGTGCCTACTGCACAGGCCGCATCAGAACCGCGCCGAATGATATTATGAGGCGACTAGCGCTGCGCATCATCCGGCGGGGTATGCTGCATGGTAGTTGTAGGAGGAGGAGAAGGAGGAGGAGGAGGAGGAGGCGGAGAAGGAGGAGGGGGACGAGGAGGAGGAGGAGGAGGAGGAGGAGGAGGAGGAGGAGGAGGAGGAGGAGGAGGAGGGGGTCGGGTGCGGAGAGTGGTGGGAGGAGGGAGGTGTGGGAAGAAAGGGGAGGAGGAATAAAGAGGAAGGAGAAGAGGAGAGAGGGGGTTGGAGGTAGGGAATAGGAGATGTAAGCGAGGTTCAGGGAGGAGAGGGAGGAGGAGGCGGGAGGACGGAGGAGAGAGGGACGGGAAAGAGGAAGGGGAAAACGAGATGGGAAGGAGGAAAGAGGGAGGCGGGATGGAGAAAGGGGGGGAGGACCTAGAAGGGAGGAGGTAAGATGGAGGGAGGTGGAGGGAGGAGGAAGGAGGAAGGACGGAGGAAGGAGGGAAGGTGCAGGAGGAGGAGGACGATGAAGCGAGGAGGAAGTGCAGCAGCAGAGGGAGAAGGGGAGGAAAGAACGGAGTGAGGAAGACGAGGCGAGTAGCGGAGTGAAGCAAGGGAGGGGAGGGAGGGAGGGAGCTAAGCACCAAGGCGAACCCCACGCCCCAAACAAAAACATGTCAATCACTTGTTGTCGCGGACCCAGCGGGCAGTCAAATCGGTATGGCAGGACAGGGGTGCGAAAAAGCGAATCGGCACCAGCGCGAGGCAAACAACCACTGCCCCACCACACCCTCAATGTCGATCCTGAAACCTTGGATCTCGGTACTCAGACTCAATATCGGTCGCCCGGAATGTCTGGGGGTGCATACTGGCCAGAACTTCGAAAGCGCACCCAACCATGGCAACGAGGGCGCCCCACGACGTGAAACGAATCAACTACCGAAAACCTCCTACCGCAAACATCCCTTCGCCCCCCTCTTAATCCTATCCGCCTCCCCCTGTTCCTCCTCCCCCTCTTTATCCCCCGCCTCCTCCTCCTCTTCTTCCCCCTCCTCCTCCAACTCCTACTTCTCCTCCTCCTCCTCCTTCTCCTCCTCCTCCTCATCCTCCTACTCTTACTCTCCTCCACTCCTTCCCTCCTGTGTCCCTTCCTCCCCATTATCCTCCCCCTCTTTATGTTACCATCCCCATTCCTTTCTTCGTTACCCTCCGTCCCTCATCCTTATCCCTCCTCGTCGCTCCTTATCCCTCCCGTTCCACTCTTCCTTACAACCATCACCCCCATGCACACATGTACTCATCAGCATCATCAGCATCAGCAGCAGCAGCAGCACCATCATCATCATCATCATCATCATCATCATCATCAGCAGCAGCAGCAGCATCATCATCGTCATCATCAGCAGCATCATCATCATCATCATCAGCATCTTCATCATCATCATCATCACCACCACCACCACCAGCATCATCATCATCATCATCATCATCATCATCAGCAGCAGCAGCATCAGCATCATCACCATCATCATCAGTATCATCATCATCATCATCATCATCATCATCATCATCATCATCATCATCATCATCATCATCATCATCATCATCATCATCATCATCCGCATCGTCGTCGTCATCATCATCAGCAGCAGCATCATCAGCATCAGCAGCAGCATCAGCATCAGCATCATCAGAAGCAGCATTACCACCAGCAACAACAGCATTATCGTCAGCAGTATCATCCTTATCAGCAGCACCAACGCCACCAAGACTGGTAGCATCGTCAACAACATCAAGACCAACACCAGCGACTGCATCGTCATTGTTATAACAAGCATCAACATCATGCGCATCATCGACACCGCCTCCACCATCACCCCCACCACCACAACAACAACCATCAGCATCAGCATCATCATCATCATCATCAGCAGCATCATCAGCATCATCATCAGTATCAGCATCAGTATCATCATCACCAGCATCACCATGAGTATTAATCATCAGCGTCAACAGCATCATCATCAGCATCAGCATCGTCATCATCGACAGCATCCTCAGTATCACTATCACCATCAGTATTCTCACCACCGCCATCATCATCATCACCATCAGCATCATCATCATCAGCAGCATCATCATCATCATCATCATCATCATAATCAGCATCATCATCATAATCATGATCAGCAACAGCGTCATTGTCAGCATCAACAGCATCCGCATCCGCAGCAGCATCAACATGAGCAGCATATTCAGCACCAGCATCATCATCCTCCTAAGTATCATCAGCACCATCAACATCGTCTTCATCAGCAGCACCACCATCATCAGCATCATTCTCATCATCATAATCATCATAAGCATCATCACCATCATCATCGTCATCATCGTCATCATCATCATCAGCAGCCTCACCATGATCAACATCATCATGAACCTCGCTCCGCCCCTCCTCGTTCCCATCCTGCTGCGCACAGAGTCCGTCACAGACGGCGATCGCGGCGCCCGCTCGTGCAGCCGAGCACGAGGCGCAGGCCTCTCGTGGCTGCACGTGGAGACGCGCGGGCCGCCAGCAGAGCCGACCCGTCCCGCGCCCGCACCGTCCCACGCGCCACGGGCGCAGCGCCTGCGTGCGCGACCTGGCGTTGGCCGCAGGACAGCACATGGACAAAGAGTCCGAACCCTGCGGCGCAAGATGCCTCCACGGACCCCCAACATGAAGGTCGAGGGCGCAGCGATGGAGAGGGCATGGGTGGACAGAAATGTTCGAGCCCCCAAACCACCACCCGTGCTGAAATCAGCATGGGCTTCGGGGGCGAGAAGGTGATGAGCATCCCAGGGGGCAGAAAATCCACCCCCATAAGAATCACCCCGACAAGCGAGGCCGCTTAGTGAGCGCGCCCAGGGAAGGAAGCGACGAGGGCAGGGCTGCCCAGTAAACGCCCGAGGCCGCTCAGTGAACGCCAATCGTCGGGGCCTGGGTGGTTTCCCTCCCTCGAACTCAGGGGAAGAGTGCATGTCCCCCACACACACACACCACCCACGCCCCGTCAGGAGGAGGAGGAGGCGGAGGAGGAGGCGGAGGAGGAGGCGGAGGAGGAGGAGGAGGGGGAAAAGGAGGAAAAGAAGAGGAGGAGGCGGAGGAGGAGGAGGAGGAGGAGGAGGGGGAGGCGGAGGAGGAGAAGGAGGAAAAGAGGAGGAGGGGAGGAGGAGGAGGAGGAGGAGGGAGGGAGGAGGGGGAGGCCTCCGCTGCCCTGCCCAGCGCCAGCGCCGCGGCGGCCTCCGCCGCCCGGTAGTTCAGCCACTTGAGCTGCTCGGCCAGCCCGGCGGGGAGCCAGTCCTCGCGCGAGGGAGGCGGGGGACGTCCACCACCGCCTCCGCCCCCGCCTCCCTCGATCCGCCTCCCTCCTCCGCCCCCTCTCCTCCCTCCCTCTCCTCCCCTCCTCCCTGCTGCTCCCTCCTCCTCCCTCCTCCTCGTCCTCCTCGTCCTCCTCCTCCTCTTCTTCTTATTCCTCCTCCTCCTCCTCCTCCTCATCCTCCTCCTGCTCCTCCTCCTCCTCCCTCCATTCCTCCCTCCCTCCCTCCCTCCCTACCTCCCTGCCTCCCTCCCTCCCTCCCTCTTCCCTCGTCCTCCCTCCTCCACCCCTTCCACAAAAACATCAGATGAATACTACTTTCCTCTCTCCCCTGATGACGTCCAGAAGATATTCGGCCCCCTCCGCGACCTGCTTTTTACACACAAGATTCGCGGGAAACGGGTTTTCGCTTTGTTGCTTTGTCAGAATGCTGCTCCCGCTGAAGTGCTAGCCTCATGTTCGGTCTTCCGTTCGTTCCGAATCGTGCTCCCGCTGCAGCGCTCGCCGCATTTCCGCGCTTCCGCGCTCGTTCCGAATCGTGCTCCCGCTGCAGCGGTGGCCTTCCTTCCAAATAGGCCCAAAAATCTCGAAAATGGCCCCCCGAAAAAAACATCGGATGTGATTCCACATTCGGTATCGGTTCGTTGATTTTTTGGGCACCAGAAGACCCCCACTTGGGGGCGTCGTCGTTTTCAGGGAGTATCAAGCGAGAGCCCCGTTTCTGCTTTGAGAAGGCGGGTGATTTCCGTCAGCCCCGCCTTGTGTGGAGCTCTTCGGGGAGTCCAAGGAGATAGAAATGAAGCCACGACTCCAGACTTGCCAAGACCTCTCGAAGACGATCCACTTACCTTCCGACGAACCTGGCGCCATGCCATGGCATGCTGTGCTATGTTGTGTTCTGCGCCGTTGTGCGATGCCATGCGTTGCGGTACAATGGTTTGTTATGCAATGCTTCACTGCGCAATGCCACGCCATGCTATGGCATGCTACGCTCTGCCGTGCTCTTCTACGTCATGCCATACCGTGCTCTACCATGCATCGCGACCCCTCTCGCGATCATTGCCCTGCTCGACATCCCACTGTGCGAATAGAGAGGAGATCTACGCCATGGTAAGGGATGGGAGGGAGGGGTAGGACGTCAGATATGACGAGAGCGCACCTAGCTTGTCCCTCCTCCTCCTCCTCCCTCCTCATCCCCTCCGCCCTCCTCCTCCCATCCCCCATCCTCCCCCCTCCATCCTCCTCCCTCCTCCTCCCTCCTCCTCCCCCCTCCTCACCCTATTCTTTCCTTGGACAGACCCCCGCTCTGTCACCTAGCCAGCCGATGACCAGCCGATCTTTGGGTGGCATGGCCTGCACGTAAAAGCAATACACAGAGGACGTGCTTCTTCTCGACATGGACGTCCTGCCGCCGACGCCGTAGACTGCGCGACGGGAAGGGGATGCGGCGCCCGTCGCGCCCTGCGCTTCTCGCCGGTGATGCGAAACCAGTGCTGCAGGAATGGGATTGGGCCTCGATTGGGCCTCGGCGCGCGTGTCTCCTGTCAGCTTGAACTCTTCCGTCGCCATCGACGCCACAGGGCTGGCAGAGCTGGGCCGGGGCGCACCTCGCGCCGCGGACGTCTGTCGCCGGCGCTGCAAAAAACTCGTGGCGGGAACGGGGCGCGACGCGCGCCGCGCGCTGCAGAGCGTGGAAAGAGGTGGGCGCGGCGCACATGGCGCCCTGCGTGTCTCGTCGACATCGCAAGCAGCGTCGCACGATGGGTGGCGCGGCTCACATCGCGCCCTGCAGAGCGTGGCAGGCATCGGCCGCGGCGCCCGCGCGAGCCAGCGGACTTGCCGCCATCGCCCGAGCTCCGTGCGTGCGCAGTGTGCTCGGAAGTGGCCTCTTCCCGCGCGGGCGCGGCACGTGGCTCCCTCGCCAGGCCGCAGGGTAAACCGGCAGCGGCAGCGAGGCCGCGCGAGCGCGGGGGAGGTGCTGAGCTCTCCCAAAACGCCGGGCAGCTCGCGAGCGCCAAGTGGCGGTGCTGTGCCGGCGCGACGCACGCTCCGCTCTCGCCGCCCTCGTCGAAAGCGGTTGCCGCTCCCGCCCCTGCGCGGCCTGCGTTGGGTTGCCTTTGCCATGCCATCGGAAGCGGGACTGCGCGCGAGCGCCTTCCGTTCGCTGGGTGGGAGCGCCGTCCAATCCAAAGTTGCGCCGCGAGTGACTCTTATGTCTATAGGAGGGAGGGCGGGCACGGGCGGGGCCCTCTGACTCGCGAGACCTGCCTGATTTGCTTCCTCCCCCTCCTCCTCCTCCTCCTCCTCCTCCTCCTCCTCCTCCTCCTCCTCCTCCTCCTCCTCCGCCTCCCCTCTCCTCCTCCTCCTCCTCCTCCTCCTCCTCCTCCTCCTCCTCCTCCTCCTCCTCCTCCTCCTCCCTCCCTCCCTCCTCCATTCTCTCCGCCCTCCTTCCCCCCCCTTGTCCCCACTCCTCCTTCCCATTCCTCCTCCTGCCCGTCTGTTCCTTTCCTCCTTCTTTGCGCTGCGCGAATTTAAGCCACGGAGCTGAAGCGTACCACTATGAAAACTGAATGCGCGAAGCCGACGTGGGCAAAGCGCGAATAGATTAGGTGAGGCCATCGTAGAAGATCAACATACAGGGCATGAGAGACAAGCAACAAGAAGTAGGCCCCAAAGGCTCGAAGCATACGCCACCCTCGCAGCATTGCTGGGAGCGAGGGGTTCCGAACCGAATCGGAAGAATATAATCGATATCGTAGCATAAGGAAGGAGAACGCCGTGCAAGTGGGACCGACATACAGGTGTAAGTGAGCAAAAAGTGGAATCAGTAACTGCCTGCTAGTTGCTCGGAAAAGTGTCCAATCGCTTGGGTAAGTCAGACGGCTGCGCCAAACTGGGCCGACGTCGCTTGGCAGCCCTCCCATCCCAACACCTGTAGGCATCCTAAAGCCCCAACTCCGCCATCGGTAGAGTAAATGGGCAGTAAACGAGCAGGCGGCCATAGCATAACTGGGATGTGCAACTGGGTTATGCAAGAGCACTGCAAGGCTCGCGCCGTCGGCGCAGACTGGCCCAAGTAAACACACTGAAATACTGCCAAAGCGTCCTTCTTCTTCTCCTCCTCCTCCTCCTCCTCCTCCTCCTCCTCCTCCTCCTCCTCCTCCTCCTCCTCCTCCTCCTACTGCATCACCCTCCGAACCACTCCAAACACCGCCATGCATGGGCTAGCTGGAACATGAGGGGCCTCGTTAAGGCGACCCCTGGGTTAAACGTGTGACGTTGCAGAGTGGGCAAGAGCGCAGAAGAAGTCAGATTGTTATGGCCTGCGCTGCGCAGGCCATCCTGTGACAACCCGTCCGCTGCGAAATTGCTGAATGTTCTAACTATGTCGGCGCTATTTGATGCTGCTCGGCAATCCAGTAAGGGGGGGTCATGGCCCTCCCCCTGCCGTGGGCCAACATGGCCGCCACCGCCATAAGTAGCACTGGCAAGGATCAGTATGAAACACACCTTGGTGTAGGCTGGGCTGCAAACGTCAGGCAATTGTAACTGACGGTGCGGTCTTCCCCATCCACCTCCAAACACCGATCCCCACATTTCCCCAAAAGAGCCGCTCCATCCCGAAGGTCAAGCAGGCTGATGAGCAGCCTGACTAGGTCGTCAGGCGAATGCCGAAGCAGGTAAAAATGAGATCACTATGTGCATACCTATACGACCACCCTTCGGGGGACACCACAGGACACCACGGGCCACCACGGGACACCACGGGACACCGCGGGACACCTTTCGATCTCACTATCGGTCTCACTATGGATCTCACTACCGATCTCACTCAGCGAGACACCATAGGACACCACGGGACACCTCGGGACACCAGATCGATCTCACTATCGATCTCACGATCGATCTCACTATGGATTTCACTCAACGGGACACCACGGGACACCTCGGGACACCTGTCGATCTCACTATCGACCTCACTATCGATCTCACTCAGCGGGACACCACGGGACACCACGGGACACCTCGGGGCACCACATCGATCTCAGTATAGATCTCACGATCGATCTCACTCAACGGGACACCACGGGACACCACGGGACACCACGGGACACCACGGGACACCTGTCGATCTCACTATCGATCTCACTATCGATCTCACTCAACGGGACACCACGGGACACCACGGGACACCACGGGACACCACATCGGTCTCACTATCGATCTCACGATCGATCTCACTCAACGGGACACCATGGGACACTACGGGAAACCGGCGGGACACCGGCCGCCGGAGTAGAAACAGTTGGTCCGGCCGCGGCCCAGCCACAAGAGGATTTCGGGACACCCGCGGGACACCGGCGGGACACCGCGCGACACCAGCCGCCGGAGGAGTAACATTTGGTCCGGCCGCGGCCCAGCCACAGGAGGGTTTCATCTCGCCCGCCCACGCAGCTTCGCCTCGCCCGCACGCACGCACGGCACGCACGACACGAACCCGAAACCGAAATCGATTTCCCGGTAGAGGGGGTCTCCGTTTCACGTCGGACTCACCCCCCCAACCTCGGATATATATATATATATATATATATATATATATATATACATATACAAGACTGCAGTGGCGCTTCGCGCCATGAACCTTGGTCCTTGAGATTTGGTATGCAGGCGGAATGGCAGGAAAGTCAAGCCGACAATTTAGCGATGACTCCTTGTTGCCTTTTCCGGCATCGCTGCTATAATAATGTTCTTCGTTATCCTTCCTCCATGCTTCTTTTTCCTTATTTTCGCCATACCTTGCGCATTATCCCCTTCCTCCTCAGCTCTTTTTTGCGAAGGCTTCTCCTTGGAGAGCCTCTGGGGGCCTCACAAAAATTGTTTCAAGCGTTCTTAAGGCCTTCTGGAGGCCTCCTGGGCGCATTCTGGGGGCATCTGGGGGTTTCCTCGGGCCACCCTGCCTCCAACCGCGGTCTCCCTGAACGAC